CAGAGACACTCGCTGGAACACCTCAGCAAGCGAGAGTCCAAAAGTGGCAGGCTCAAACCCAGAACCTCAACCAATGGCTGATACCGAATGAGAGACTCCCCCCTGGGCACACAGAGGACTGGGCGACTTGGAAGGCGCTGAACAGACTGCGCTCTGGCACCACGAGATGCAGAGCCAACCTTCAGAAATGGGGCTACAAAGTGGAATCCTCGACATGCAAGTGTGGAGAGGAGCAAACCACTGACCACCTGCTGCAATGCACCCTGAGCCCTGCCACATGCACAAGGGAGGACCTTCTTGCAGCAACACCAGAAGCACTCCAAGTGGCCAGATACTGGTCAAAGGACATTTAATCAACTCTCATACTCACAAATTTTGTAATCTGCTTGTTTGCTTTGTTCTGTTAGAAATGTAATATAATTTGACTGGTTGTTCTGACACGACAAATAAAGCCTAAGTGGAAGGTAATGGCAAACCACCTCTGCATAAATCTTGCTGAGCATTGCCATAAGTTAGAAAGGGTTGGTGGCATACAGCAATAATAAACAATAGTAGCATACCCACACTCTCCAAGTCTTGCCCATTTGGACAAGGAGGGAATATTCTTTTTTTAAAGTTCTGTATTACTCTACATGGTTTTCAGCAATAAAATTGGATGTAATAAACATGGCATTTTCATGTTTGATGATGCGGGAGAAAGAAAGATGAAAGGCAGCCTCTTCATGATTGTTTTTATATTCTTTCCTTAATAATAATACTAATGAAATATGTATTATTTACCCATAATAATCATCCTTAATTATCAAACATGTTGCTCTTTTCCTCTATGGGCCAGCAATGTTTGAACCAGACCCTTTAACAGAAATATCAGCAGCAGCAATTAGCAGTGATCTGCTTATCCCCAAGCTATGAAGAACTTCACTTGCTGTTTTCTGAATACCATATATCCTTTAAAAGCATAGGAGCAGCCAGTCTGTTGACAACTGCTACGTTTTGCAATGATGGTTGGCTCCTATTATCATTTGGAGGTGTGAAATGTCCGACACGAGCACTTTAATCAGATTGCTTTAATCACATTCCATAGTGAGGAATCACAAGTCAACTTTCAAGCTTTTGCTAAGCAGAAGGCAATAGCTGATGAAAGGCTCTAAGTGAGTCAGAAAAATGTACATTTATGTACCCACAAAATTGATTGGCACCATATGGATTACAATCTACCTATTACATATCCCACTCCCAGGGTGTGCTTACACTGTAGAGTTATATGCAGTTTGACACCATTTTAATTGCCACTGATAAATGCTATGGAATAATGGGAGCTGTAGTTTGAGGGTCACTGGCACTTTTTGGCAGATAAGCTAAAAACCTTGTAAAACTACAATTGCCATGATTTCATAGTATTCAGCCATGACAGTTAATGTGGCGTCAAATTACATTAATTTGACAGTGTAGATACAGGGTACATACGGTTTTATTGGGTGATGGATATAGACCCTGGTCAGATTTATACCAGACACTACATTTACATGTTTAACTAAAGAATGCCCCAATCCACAGAACACTATGATAGCTTTCAGCTGACCTACTTTCCTATCTCACTGGCTATTTCATCTATTCCTCCCACCTACTGCTTTCCCATCTGCTAGGCATTTTTAGATCAGAAGAGCTTTCTTGAATATTGATAAATGCCAGGTAGACTTCATAAAGAACTGCACTCATTTTTAAGGGGATTATATTTTCATTGTGTAAAGAACGGCAAAGTTGAATGAGGGTTCCACTCTCTTCAGAGATGACGTGGGAAATTTAATAAACAGCCAATTGTGGATTTGAAGTCTTGTGTCTGTTGTGAGTTCTTCCCAGATACTGGGTGTATCTGGGTGGAATGCAGTCGGATGGGTGGTTGATGGGTCCCGATAGTCCAATATCAGCTAGACAAAGGAAGTGCTGGCCAATGGACAAAAGTGTTTGAGGTTCAGTTATAGAATGGAGGATTGTCAGAGGGGGTCTGGATAGGTGCTATAGATGAGACAATGTTCCCAGGGTTAAACTCAATCATATCATGCCAGATAGATAAAGGAAATTGATTTATGTGATTTTCTCTGGGTGAGGATGAGGCAAGGGCAAAGTGAGTTCACAAACTGGGGAATTTCCAAGGAATTTCATAGAAAGGTTACCTTTTAGGTCAATTAGGAATGACCATGACATTTTCCAGTAGAGCCACATTTTACAATTCACATATTTTATATAATTCATTTTATTTGAGGTGTGTGTGTGTGCATATGTGTGTGATTTCTCGATATCAAAACTGCATTAATTCTACAGTCTAGCTGCTTCTCAACAGTCCTGCTAGGGCCTTGCAGGTTCAGGGCTCTCGCTTCTTTGATTTAGTTCATCCATCTGGATTAGATGATAAATTTTAATTCCAGATGAGACTTTTTAATGATGTAGAACATTGATAGGATTGTGCACTGTGGAGTATGACATCTGTGTTGGAGCCTGGCTGCTTGAATGGAAGTGTAAGGAGCTCACTTTTCAGGAACATCTTCTTTTCAAATTTCTTTACTGTCTAGCTTTCACAGCCATACATAGAAATGGAAAATACAATGGCATGGTCAAGCTGTAAAAAAAGGGCAAATTGTTATATACAACAAAACAAAATGCAGAAGTATTACCAGTTGACGCAACAAGATAATGGGAATAAACATAGTTGAGACTGAGAAGAAACCAAGCCTAACTGTGGTTTCACACATTATTCTCCAGGCACAAGCATCCTTTTGCTGTGTTAAATGAGAACATGTTGATTGGGTCAGCCCTTTGGATCTCATTCATCTGATCTTGGAATTGATGCTGTTTTGCCATATTTGCTTGTTATGTATGCAGCCCTTCCATCAGGTTCTGCAATTCCCACAGGTAACAAAACATCCACCAGAACCCATTCCCAAACCTGTATTCCATTTATTTTAGGAAGATTTTTCAATCCTTGAGGAATTTCATTAAAATGCCACATAACACACACACATGAACACATGCATGCACCCACAGGGTTTCTATGGTAACCAGAAAAACCTATGGGCAGCTATCTTTTCGGCCATTTGAGGACATTATTCTTTTTTTTTTTTAAACCAAGGCATGTGAACTAAAGCTGGCATCCACAGGAGGACTGCCAATTGCCTTGAATTGTGAATGGCTTCTCTGATGTTTACCTGGAATGAATGAACAAAGATCAGCCCAAGGAAACAAACAGAAATGACTCACAGTTCTCAGAGAGATACATACACTTCATCTTTTCTGAGCGCACTAGCTTAGGAGGCACCAAGTTCTAAATAATTAATATCAAATTCTTCATACATAACCATGACAAGTACACTTTTTTATTTTTGCATATGTTTTCCCTAAGCCTCAGGGAAAAGATGTTCTACTGAGCTTGAAACCCTTATGTCTTGAAAATTCAAAATAAGTTGTAGCCAAAGCTGAATATACCAGACCTTGGTACTAGAACTTTCAGGGCCCACCTGCTAACATGGCCTGATGGACACATTCATAGAATCATAGAATCAAAGAGTTGGCAGAGACCTCATGGGCCATCCAGTCCAACCCCCTGCCAAGAAGCAGGAATATTGCATTCAAATCACCCCTGACAGATGGCCATCCAGCCTCTGTTTAAAAGCTTCCAAAGAAGGAGCCTCCACCACATATTCCGCTGGTATATGTCTATCAGTCTATCTATTTATCATAAAATGATTACATCCGGCATATACATTCTATCAATAACACATAGACTTGCATAAATATCTCAAGGGAGCCCTTTGGCGTCAGACTGATTTTCAACATGGCCAACTAAATGCTTCCAAAACACTCATGAGTAAAGGAAGTAGCACACCTTGGTTGTGGTAATCAGCAACAACTATAATCAACAGGTAGACTTCTGTGCAACAAAGGCATTCCATCTGCCTACGATTATAAACTAGCAAAGACAAATCTTTAGTCCAAAAACATTTATCTTATATAATTTGAAGAACAATCTTATATGCTGCTTGGAAGACCACAGGGTAGTGGTAGCAGTGGATTGTACATTGTCACATACCATCATCTCCGCTCTTGGGGATGCTGTTCATTTATAGTGGCAAAGAGCTCATCTTCTGTTGCTGTCCATGTTCATGGTGCTCTGGTGGCAGTGAGGAACAGAGTGTCTTTTCCTTCATGCTCCTATATCGGCAACCTCCAAGGGTAGAAAAACAGGGGTCACCCAATGCAGTCTGTGGATATTTATTCTGGTGAAAAGGGGGATTTAATGTATAGTGTAATGGTGTGAGCCAGAGTAGTGTAGTAGTTTAACTATGTCTGTGAGAATCCCATTGAATTCCATCTCACAATTGAAAACCTACTGGTTGATCTTGGACAAATCATAGAATCAAACAGTTGCAAAAGGAACACCTAATCAAAGTACCCCTGACAGATACCTATCCAGCCTCAGCTTAAAATCTTCCAGAAAAAGAGATTTCACTACTCTCCAAGGCAGCATATTCCAATGTTAAATATCAATAACTATCAGGAAGTTTTTTCTAATGTTAAAGTAGAATCTTTTTTCTTGTGATCTGAACTCATTGCCACATGCCAAGCTGCACAAAACATGACTGTCCCCTTCTCAATATGATCTACTTTCACATATTTAAACATGATTATTATGTCCCCTCTCAACTTTCTCTTCTTCAGGGTAAACATACTCAGTTCTCTAAGCCACTCCTCATACACCTTGGCTCTCAGGCCTTTTACCATTGTGGTTGACCTTCTCTGGAAATATACTAGCTTGTCAATATCCTTCTTGAATGGTGGCACCCACAACTGCAATCTTAAATCACAATATCTTAGCCTCAAAGAATGGTAGTAGTACATGTCCTCTGTATATTGCTTGCAAAAAAACAAACAAACAAAAACCCAAAAACTAAACCTTACACTGGAGTTGACTTGAAATCACACGAGAAAATATCCAGCACTAAAACTCAATTTTGAATAGATACCATATTTTATTCCAGTTGGACACCATTATTTACAGAGACATGTTAGTAAAACATTTCACAAAGCACATAAAATTTCACAGTTAATATTTATAGGTGCATAGTTCATGCTCAATTACTTTATATATATGTATATATGTATAGAAATATATTAATAACTTTCACTATAATGCCATCCTTAGACAGAAAAGACTAATCATAGGAAACATTTTAAAAATCTTGTTTCGTAAACAATACCAAATTACTGACAATAGGTCAACAAAACATGTACAGCTTTACAAATAAGGAGTTAGACACTTAGGTGTTTTTTTAAAAATTTGTTTTCATTTTTTAGAAGTTGAAGCCACAATATCCACACAACAACAATGGCTCTGAGACCCAGACTTTCATTTCAGAGAGAAAGGAGGTTACTGAAATGAAAACTGGACTCAGTTACAGATGCTCCAATCATTGCTGATGGAAGTCTTCAAAAGACACTGTAGAAACTATAAAAATAGTTTACGACTGGGCACATTGGAACTCAGCACTTGTACAGGACAGGATGTCTTTGTTAACAGGTCACAGAAGACAGAAGAAAGAGAGTGAGATTCATGCTTCAGGTTCATAATCCTGGTATTCTTCCTGTTGGGAGCATCAACAACAAAAGAAGTTTAGGGAATGAATGAAGAAAGGGGAAAGGAAAAAGAGAAGAAATTAAATTTTAATTTAGTCAGTTCTCTATAGCCACAGTCTGCATCCATGGATAACGTGAAAGTATTTTGAAAAGTCCCAAAAGCAAAACTGGATTTTACCATCATATATGCATCAAGGGATACCATTTTATTATATTACTGTATGCAATGGGACTTGAGCATTCATACATTTTGATATACATGGGGTGAAGGCGGAGAATACGGTGTATAACAAGGCCCCACTATATACATACCACACTGTGTCTAAGACAGTGTTTCACAACCTTCCTAATACTGTGACCCCTTAATACAGTTCCTCAGGTTGTGGTGACCCCTAATCATAAAATTATTTTTGTTGCTACTTCATAACTTTAATTTTGCTACTGTTATGAATCGTAATGTAAATATCCAATATGCAGGATGCATTTTCATTCTCTGGGCCAAATTTGGCACAACACGCTCAAATTTGAATACTGATGGGGTTGGCGGGGTGTGTGTGTGATTTTGTCATTTGGAAGTTGTAGTTGCTGGGATTTATAGATCACCTACAATTAAAGAGCATTCTGAACTCCACCAATGATGAAATTGAACCAAACTTGACACACAGAACTATATCCGGAGAGCACTGTGGGCTCAAACAATGATATAGACCAAACTTGGATATGTCCAAATGTGAACACTGGTGGAGTTTGGGGAAAATAGACCTTGGAATCTGGGAGTTGTAGTTGCTGGGATTTATAGCTCACCTACAATAAAAGAGAAATTCTGAATCTCACCAACGATAGAATTGGGCCAAACTTCCTAGGCAGAACTCCCATGACCAGCAGAAAATATTGTGGATTCTGATGGTCTTTGGTGACCCCTCTGACACCCCCTCATGACCCCCCCCCAGGGTTCCCGACCCCCAGGTTGAGAAACACTGGTCTAAGCTGTACTTCTGATTTCAAGGAGACATATTCAAATTAGAATGGGTACTGTCTCCTTTCCTCATCCCTTTCTATGAATTGTAGACATTAAAAACAAGGCTATGAGGGGTATGGCTGACTTAGACCTTTCCTCTTCAGTTTTCATTCAGTTCTTCCATGTATCCTTTTCCATTTAATTATTTTGTACAGAGTCTTCTCCCTGTTTCACGCTATTCCTCAGAGGCTTCATATCTCATCAGAAACTTACTTGGACTTCAGTTAAGGATAAGAGGACTTATGAAGATATAGAAGTGCTATTGAAGAAGCAGACAGATTAACACAATCCTGCTCTTCATGTGTTTACTACATCCAGAAATGGACTCTTGAATACTTTTAATGGATGCCATCTTAAACTATGATAAAAGCTTCTGTGCTCAGGAAGGCTTCTGTGTTCATGGGATGATCTTGTATTCTGAAATCCTTCTTAGGGTACATATTGCAGAATCTGTAGTGATATTTCTTGTAGCAACTAACTATTGAACCAAGTACATCCTCAGTGCCTACTGTGCTCCATCTACTTCTAACACAAAGGAAGGAGGGAAGGAAGGAAAGATTACCAGATAAATGTTGTCTGTGCTCTATGACAGGAAATAGGATCTTATTCCTACAATTTGCTTTACCTTTCACATTACTTTTTGTTTCCCATTCATCTTGTTACCCTATTGAAATGAAGAACTCCTGGCCCAAGAATACCATAGAATCTCACCAGATGAATAGAAAATGCCTAAATATTGGGTTGTTGTAGGTTTTTTCGGGCTATATGGCTATGTTCTAGAGGCATTCTCTCCTGATGCATCTATGGCATGCATCCTCAGAGGTTGTGAGGTCTCTGAGGATGCTTGCCATAGATGCAGGCGAAACATCAGGAGAGAATGCCTCTAGAACATGGCCATATAGCCTGAAAAAACCTACAACAACCCAGTGATTCCAGCCATGAAAGCCTTCGACAATGCCTAAATATTGCTTATTTGGTCAGAAATTGAAACATAAAACTGATAAATTATACAGGTCCCAAAAGGTTGAGTTGTAAAATAATTTTAAACCATAACAAAAACAATAAAAATACAGCTATTGGCCCCATTAAAAAGCATTCCACATGGTGAGTTAGACACCAGTTACTTGTTTGAGTCAAAAGATTCTGCTGGGAGGAGACCAAGGAGGAGAATCAGTTTAGTCTTTGATGTCAGATAATTATATGCCTGGGGAGCTGCTATGGAAGAACCAGTCTGCTGTGTCATCACTAAATATGGCTGTGAAGATGGTAGGATAAAGGACCATATCACAGTATAGAGGAAAATTTGAATTACAGCAGGATAACAGCAAGACTTATTATATGACATCGTTCCTCTTCTGTTCTCCCAGTGGAAGGCCACATCGGAAAGCAAGAAAATCAATAATGAATTGTGTTTGTAAAAGAAACATTATCCAAGCTGTCTCCAATCAAGAAAACAACAGAAGAGGAATGATGTCATATTATAAGCCAAGGTAAAGGTTTCCCCTTATCATTACATCTGGTCGTGTCTGATCTGGGGGTTGGTGCTTCTCCATTTATAAGCCGAAGAGCTGGCATTGTCCGTAGACATGTCCAAGGTCATGTGGCTGGTATGACTGCATGAACTGCCATTACCTTTCTGTCAGAGCAGTACCTATTGATCTACTCACATTTGCATGTTTTCGAACTGCTAGGTTGGCAGAGGCTGGGGCTAACCGCGGGAGCTCACACCACTCCCCGAATTTGAAAAACCAACCTTTTGGTCAGCAAATTCAACAGCTCAGTGATTTAACCTACGATGCAACTGGGGGCTCCCTACATGTTATAAGTCTCAGTCAAATATGCTATTATCTTGTTATAATTGTGATTTACTTGCCTCATGTGATAAGTACCTAAGACAAAGTTCAAGAATCTGAAAATTTGGGCAGATTCATAATAATTATTCTAAGCCTCTCTCTGTTCTTCTTACTATTCAAGATCAGATGGGGCTACTTAACAAGCTGAATGTCATATACCTCTATGATGGAATTTGCCATTGGGAGAGCGTGAGAAGCCTTTTGCTTGTTTATTGTTCTGTATTGAGTTAGTTCTTTCTGTTTTTGGCATATTCTTGTTCTAGTGGGCTTGCGAGAAAAGAGCCCCAAGAGCCTGCTCCTCACCATGTACATCGAAGGAATATTGTTGTTTCAGGAGAAAAGGGAGAGGCTGTTTTTCCACGATGTTAAATTGGAGTTGCTGCTCTTTTGGTCCCAGAGGAAGGTTCTTCTCCCTAAACCAGCAGACTGCTTGTCTCCACAGGAAAAAAATATTATGCTATTCTGCTTCATTTCTCTAATGTGTAGTAACTGTTTTTAAAGATAGTTAAAGATGCAGTCTTAATGGAGTCAGTTTTTCAGAAAATGCTGCAATTTGCTGACACTCGTAGTCCATTAAGATCTGCAATTTTGTATTTAAGTTTGAGCAGGTGTATCTGTGAAGTTTCTGGTACAACAAAGCAGATAATGGAGGTGGAGAGGGTGGGGGAAGTGTTTTGAAGAAAGACAAAAATCTACAATTCTAAGCAGTATTCAGAAATGGCATGCAAGGGAAGAAGAATGTACATGTCTTTTTCACACTGCATGATATATGCATATTTTTGTGCCTCTTTGATACTAATCTAGGATCTGATCATAATTAAAGTCCTTACATTGAAGGTACTGGCATAATATCATGTATCAGGAAAGCTGTGCTTCAAAGGCAGCTTGCCTCCAAATCTTATTATCACAGTCAGTAGGCCCAATGGTCAGAAATCATAAAGCTGAAAGAGACTGCAAGAACCATGTTGACCAACTCCTTGCCATGAAGAAATTCATAATCCCGGGAGATGGACATCCAACCTTAATTTGCTATCATCAAAATTTTGAAAAATGTACCTTCTATTTCATCAACCAAGTAATTTATAAACAGGTTGAATAACATAAGAAGTTGGGCTAGAGCAGACTGAGTTCATGCTTTCCCATCAGCCGTGACATTGCCATTGGTAAAGAATGATGGGCATTTGGAGAAATAAAACTTACTCTTCACTGATTTAGGTAAGATTCAGTGAGAACTCGTCTTTTTGAATCTAATGAGAATCATCCACTGTGTAGTGAGATTCTCCAGCAAGTTCAAGAGAGGTCTTTGTTTGCTAGCTTCCTAATTTCCCAAAGGGTTGCAAACACAAACCTCCAGCACTGCATCGCTTCCCTGTTACTCTAAGAAAAGCTGTCAAAGGAAGATTTACCTCAGGAGGCATTTCATAGGCTTCATTTTCAGGGTCTACTGGCATGTCTGTATTAGCCATCATTCCTTCTTGAGGGAAACCTTCATCCTGCAGAGTCAAAGGAGAGAATAAATCAGTAAAGGGTGATTTTTAAAAAACATTTAATTGCAAACACAGGCTGAGTATTTGTGATCCAAAGTGCTTGGGAAGAGAACACTTTTGGAGTTTAGATTTTCTTGGGATATTGGAACACCTGTATCTGTATATCATTTACTTTTGCACTTTATAGGACCAATACTTATTCAGTTATTTTATATTTGGAATCATTGCTGAGTTTTACTCAGTTTTTAATTAGTATGACTTTATATAATTTTATGTACTTTGGTTGTAAGTTAATTTTGTTATTAGGTTCTTGTGGGTTTTTTTCGGGCTATAGAGCCATGTTCTAGAGGCATTTCTCCTGACGTTTCGCCTGCATCTATGGCAAGCATCCTCAGAGGTATGTTTCATATACATCTTATGTGCATTGCCCAAATATGATTTTATACAATATTTGTACTGATTTTGTGCATGAAACAGCAGTTGTGGACACTAAACCACCAGAAAGCAAAGGTGTCACAATCTCAGCCACACAAGTGAACAATTTTAGAGTTTGGAGTTTTCTGAATTTTGGAACTCTAGGTAAGGGAAACCCAACCAATATAACAACTCTTCCACATTTTGACATTCAATGTTTCCTCATACATACGTACATATATTTGTCATTGCTACTGAAAAAATATACAAAAAATTCCAAACAGTGGAGTGCAGACTGAGGAAAAGACAACTCTTCATCTTCAATTTGGATTTTTGGAAGGAATTTTATAAATAGCTGTTGAAATCCAGAAGCTAATGATGATGTGACTGAAGCTGTTGTGTATGAGAATACAATTTTTTGCTTATTTTGTTTTAGTATGAGAGGATAAATAAATTTGTTAGTTCTTACTCTACTGTGAAGAAGACAAATCTTCCTCTCCATTATTCTCCCTGTATCCAAATGTTGTAAAAAGATAATTCAACAGATAATATGCATAGTTTTTTGTGTGTGTGCAACCCCCCCCCCCCAAAGATTTTCTATGTTGAAAACAGTTTTTCTGGACAAAAACCCCCCATGTGATTTGATCTGCAGAATATTCCCTCCCCAACAGTTAGGGAAGTTGAATGCCAGAATAAAATTGTGCCACATTTTCACCAGTCTATTACTCTTCCTAACAGAATTTCCTGAATGGTAGGTTTCTTAAAAAATGAATCTTTACGAATATTCTTTCCATTTGTCATTTGGTCTCCTAATAGATTTGCAGACTGCCATATGAAAATCCAACATGAAAATGATCACAGCCTCAATTATTTGCAATGTTTATAAAGATAGATTAGAGCAATTTCTATTCGGTAGTAACACTATATTTGACGATAGAGTCCTGGGTGCAATACTTCAGAAGTGAGAAAGGTTATAATGCTTCATTCTCCACCAAAGCCTATCTGTATGCTTCATACTAATGATAATAATGTTTCCCCAATGCCTTTTTATTTTTTTATGAAGCAAAGCTGCTCGAAAGGCATTTCAGAAGCAGTGAGGGAGGAAACTGACTCCTAGTTTTAACTCTTATCCTCCTTCTGCATTAAAATTCCCATATTTGACATGTTTCTGTCAAAACATGCAAAACGTGGACAAGCACATACTGAGGAAATAAACAAAAACAACAACAACAACAACTTTATTTCATACCCGCCTCTCCTAATGAGTTGAGGTGGGTTACAGAACAACTGAAACACATAAACACTGCAAAACCACCACAATACATATATTAAAATGTACCTCTATAAAGGCTACACACCAAAATGTATCTCTATAAAATACACATTGAAATATACAAAACAGAGATTAAATAAAGGATGCTCAATTTAAACTTCAAGACATGCTTCAAGACTGTCTGGGTAGGTCTGCTGGAAGAGATAGGTCTTTACGTGGTTTTTAAAATCCGACACCTCATTTAGCTGTTAGAGTTTTTCTGGTAGGTCGTTCCACAATCTTGGGGCAGCTGATGAAAAAGTCCTCTCGGTGGTGGTTGCCAGTCAGATTCCGGCTGGTTGGAGGAGATGCCCCCTAAGAGGACCTCAGTGTGCTGTATGGATTGTATGGGAGAAGGTGATCCTGTAGGTAACCTGGACCCAAATCATGTAGGGCTTTAAAAGTCAAAACCAACACTTTGTATTTTGCCTAGAAACCAATTGCTCACTCCTAGATGTTCCTGTAACTAATCTGGCTGCTGTATTTTGAACAAACTGGAGTTTCTGAACTTGGTACATGAGTAGCCCAATGTAAAGCGCATTGCAGAAGTCCAACCTTGAGGTTACCAGTGCATGTACTAGAATCTTAAGGTCCTTCAAATTTAGGAGGGGAACAGCTGGTGTATCACCTGAAGTTGATAGTAAGCACTCCTGATCGTTGCATCTACCTGGGCTGACATTTGGAGAGACAGATCCAGGAGCACTCCTAAGCTGCAAACACAATCTTTCAGGGGAATGTGTGACCCCATCCAGAACTGATTGCCATACCTTCATCCCCAGATAAGGACCCTTGATGGCAAACACCTCTGTTTTGTCTGGATCCAGTTTCAATTTGGTTTTTCTCATCCAGCCCATTACCTCCTCCAGGAATTGGGAGCATAATAGCGACATGGCAGACCTAAGGGTTAAAAGTCTTCTTGTTCTGCTTTGCTTTTCTAAACCAAAGGGCATCAAATCTTCATTCTGACACATGTCCCAGTTATTGTAATGGTCTCCAGATCCCCAACCTTCTCTTCATTGAATATGAATGTATAATATTAATAATTGATTTCAATTGCACACGTTGGGTTTACTCATCTGAGATGTGCCCCTCCCTCCCACAGTTTAGATCTTTGTTTTATAACTATACTTTTCAAGATGGTTTTCTACTCAGAAATATTGTGACTAAACAGAATGTTGGGAAGGAATTTTGCCCCCTTCATCATGATCAGTTTGGCTAATGATGTTCTTTTAACAAGTACAAAAGGTGTTTATGTATAGATGCCTTCTGTTTGAATACTGAGAACTGAAACTTTGCTCCATAGAATCATAGAATTCTATGATTCTATCCTTGACAGCTTGAATGAAGGTAAGAGACAATATAGATTCCTCATCTCAACAGGATCACACCCTTTGGGGAAGAACATTTGCGTGGCACCTGAGTATTAAGTTTTTAAAAGAATGGTTGTGCCCAGTTAAGGGAAGTACCTAATTTGTTGTTGTTGTTTATTCATTCAGTCATTTCCAACTCTTTGTGACCTAATGGACCAGCCCATGCCAGAGCTTCCTGGCAGCCGTTGCCATCCCCAGCTCCTTCAAGGTCAAGCCAGTCACTTCAAGGATAATCTTGACATCTCACCAGTAACAACATCCAGCTTGCCCTGGCTCATAGATCTTACATTCCAGGTTGTTAAAGTGTGTTGAGCTTTATAACATCGAATTTGTCGTACACCTCTAGCACCGTCGTCCGCTAGCCTTCCTTTTGGCTTTGAGCTAGCTCCATCATCACAAGTGGGGCTAGTTGAACTTATCATCTGCTCTTCCCCAGTAGCATTTTGACTATCTTCCAACCTGGGAGTGCCATCTTCCAATGGCATACCAACATATCTCTGGTTGTACTGATTCATTTAGTTTTCATGACAAGAATACTGGGGTGGGTTACAATTACCTTCTTCAGTGAACTTATTTAGTTTGACTTTTCTGCCATGACCTTCCCATCTTAGGTGTTCCTTCACGGTTTCGCTCATGGCATCATGAGCGAAACCATGAAGCTTGAGGTGCTCAAGCTTCAGGACCACAACAAGGCAATGATCCTTTGCTGGATCATGTTGTTATCCAGGTGCTGTCCTTTTCCCTTCCCAGATCAAATAAAGAACTAGATGAAGCCAAATAAAGAACTGGATGAAGCCTTGATCCAGATTTTTGATAAATTTTGATAGATTGAATTATTTCTCAGCTGCTAAAATGATTTGGTCTTGATATACAAAGTGGGGAAAAAATCTGTTGACGTTATAATGCTTCATGTCATATTTTGAACATTAGTGGTGGTGAATTGGTAGACATGGAGACAGATCTTTGCAAAATCCATGTAGGGTGATTTTTTTTGTCGTGTCAGGAGCAACTGCTCCTGTTGTGAGAATTGGCCATCTGCAAGGATGTTGCCCAGGGGACGCCTGGATGATTTTTGATGTTTTATCATCCTTGTGGGAGGCTTCTCTCATGTCCCCGCATGAGGAGGTGGAGCTAATAGAGGGAGCTCATCCGCCTCTCCCCGGATTCGAACCTGCGACCTGTCGGTCTTCAGTCCTGCTGGCACAGGGGTTTAACCCACTGCGCCACCAGGGGCTGATAAAAAGTTTAAACAGAGTTCCCTGTCCTCCTTGTACTCAATGTATTTGCTTCACTGTATTATTTTCAGATATTCTATTTATATATGTTATAACATGGTTCATATATGCACATTCAACGTTTGTAATTATACACCTCACATTTAACGTTAATAATATATGTAAATTGTCCCTTTTCCTATTTTTACAATCACTGGGGAAAATTTTGGAACTATTTTTCAGCCAAGAACTGTTGCATCAATTTCTGACACAAGATGATTTTTATGTCCTGAGATTCAAATGTCCTACTTATTTTGCATTTTTAAAAAGGTATTTTTAAAAAGGTAACAGCCAAATGATCACATAGAAGGTAAAGATATGTGGTGAAGATAAAGATTTTGGATATCACTAAGGACATGATAAAATGGTACATAGGGCTTTACCTACAGAACACTTAATAAATATTGGACCAGAGTATTTTTGAATCTTACCTACATTAATTGCATATCAATGTTGCTGTGGCAGAAAAGCTAACAGTGAGTTCAATCCTGTGGTGTACTCATAGGATTTTTTTTTACTCATTCTTGCCTTTAACTAGTGGTGAAAATTAGATGTATCTGTATGTGACCACTATTTCAAATTCTCTCCAGGCTGCTTTGTGAACTTTGGTATACTCAATGTTCTTTAAAATAATAT